ATTTTTTTTTAAAGGATTTTATTTATTTATTTGACAGAGAGAGAGAAAGAGCACAAGCAGGCAGAGTGGCAGGCAGAGGGAGAGAGAGAAGCAGGCTCCCTGTCAAGCAAGGAGCCTGATGCAGGACTGGATCCCAGAACCCTGGGATCATGACCTGAGCTGAAGGCAGAGGCTTAACCCGCTGAGCCACCCAGGCGTCCTGATAGTGTGGTATTAAAGTTCCAAGCTATTATCGTAAAACTATTTCTTCCTTCCATTCTGTCAACTTTTGCTTTATATATTCTGAGGGTCTGTTATTAGGTGTGTAAATGTTTATACTTTTTATAGCTTCTTGCTGTGTTCATTGTTCTTTTTGTAGATCTCCTGATTTCATGGAAATCTGTAACAGCAGTTCTCGAATTTGTCTGCATATTGAAGTAATCTGAAGAGCTGAGGAAAAATATGGATTCCTGTACCCCACCTGCAGAGATTGTGATTTAAATTAGTCTGGTGTGTCGTCTGAGAAAGGAAACCTCTCTTTTTTATTTTATTTTTTTATTTGACACGCACACTGAGCAAGCACAAGCAGGGGGAGCAGTAGAGGGAGAGGGAGAATCAGGCTCCCTGCTTAGCAGGGAGGGATAAGAGATAAAGGACTCGATCCCAGGACTCTGAGATCATGTTCTGCCTTTTTTTTTTTTTTTTTTAGATTTTATTTGTTTATTTGAGAGAGAGCAAAAAAGAGATCACAGAGGGAGAGGGAGAAGCAGACTCACTGCTGAGAGGAGAGCCCGATTCGAGGAGAACCCTGAGATCATGACCTGAGCCGAAGGCAGAGGCTTAACCCACTGAGCCACCCAGGCGCCCCTGGTCTATGAGTATTATTAATTTTTTTCCCCCTTAGCTTACCTGCTTTGTTTCTCTGATTTACTTTGTTCTGCCAGTTTTAGTCTCTATTTTTCTGGCTTTCTTCAAAGTCCAGAGATCCCCGGTTGTACATCCATGTTTAAAATGAGAGTTGCAAACAGGTGTACAAACACAAGAATGAGATAACCAGAAAACCAATTGGAAGCTGATGGGGAGGTTGGGATCTGGACATATGCTTAAAGACTCCATGTCAATATCTAAAGGTCTTTTCTCTTTGGCTGATCCGTTTGCCAAGAGGATTTTTGCAATAATCTGCGTTGGAGGTATAAATAAGCATGGGAAAGGGTGACTGTCTCATTGCTCACTCTGTTTTATCCATTTCTTTTAAATATGGCCGCTTACGGCTTTCCTCATAGTGTCTTGGTGTTCTCATGTCCAGAGCCTCCCTGGTTCAAAGGTGACTATCTTCTGTTGGGATAGAAGAGATAGGGTTCTGCAGTGTGACATGGCTCACTTCTTACCAGTTTCTCTGTCTCTCTCCTCTGTAGGTAAATTTCAGAACCCCCACCCCCTTAAATTAGTTACCACTTATCTATCTTCCAAAATTGTTGCTGCCTAGTCTCCTGTCATTTCCTTTCCTATTATCTGTCCTTGGTGGTCTGTATCTTTTTCAAAATTATTATTCTTGGGGCACCTGGGTGGCTCAGTGGGTTAAAGCCTCTGCCTTCAGCTCAGGTCACGATCCCAGGGTCCTGGGATTGAGCCCCGCATCAGGCTCCCTGCTCAGCAGGGAGCCTGCTTCCCTTTCTCTCTGCCTACTTGTGATCTCTGTCAAATAAAATCTTTTTAAAAAATTATCCTTACATCGTCATTGTATAGGGTTAAAGGAAGGAGTGAAGATGTAAATACGATGTTCAATGTTTGTTTATTTCGAAGTGTTGAGAGCCTACGATCAGCAGAGAAGGAGGAGGACACTTCCAGCTGGGGAAATAGCCAGCATAGAAGTTTAGTTAGAAGGAGGACTTCCTGAATCCCGGGTAGAGCCTGGCAAACAGATTGGTTTTGCAGTTTGCCTTGAGGGATTATGGAAAATGAGGATCTACAGGTAGGGAGAAAGTTGCCAAATGCAGTCTTCAGAGGCCTAGTTGAAAATTTATACTTAGTAATATAATTACTACATATGACATTTTGGGGCACTTAATCTTTTCACATAATTTTACCCATGGGACGAGCCTCACAGTTAATTAGTGTTTATTGTAACTGTTTCAGAGCTAGGTTAACTGAGGTATGGAAGCTATTGGCTTTTTTCTAGGGCCACAGAGCAAGGAGCCAACGGGGAGGAAGGACAGGCGTTGAGGTGGAGCGAGGTGTGCAGGCGAGCCGTGTCTGGGTCGGTCGCTGGACGGTGGTGCTGGAACAGGGAGGTAAGCGAAGGCTGCGGCCTAACAGTGCCTTTGGCAGGAAGTACCCTTGATCTGTGTGACGTGCAGACTCTGCCTTTGTGAATCCACTTTCTCACTAAATGTGTTTACTATCCCAAATCAGTACTGCCAGTGTTTTCACTTATTTGCAGACATGCTCAGAGCAGTGAAAAATTTGTCACCCGACACCTACCTTCCCTGCTGAGGCTAAAAAAAGAGGGACATTCTGGCTCCTGGTTTCAGCTCTCCTACTGTAAACACGTTCTATGTATTACTATGTTTTCTGATCGCTGGTGATTTAGTGCACTAGAATGACCCCTAAGCGCTGACGTGGTGGCCAGCGCTCCTACATGTCATAAGGCCGTGTCGTGTGTCAGGTAAGCTTCGGTACGGCACGATTCAGAGGGCTGGTGGTTCTGAGTTCAGCGAATCCGTGGTTGCTTGGTGAACATGGTGTGACCAGGGGCTCATAGAAACCGAACCTTGCATTTCCCCGAGGAGCAGCGGTTCAGTGTTTGCTGGTTGGGTGTTTGCTGTGACTGGGAAGAACAGAACCGCTGTGCATAACGGGGCTCCTGGCGGCCTCGGTCCGTAGAGACTGTGACCCCTCATCTCGGGGTTGTGAGTTCAAGCCCCACATTGGGCGTGGAGCCTGGTTAAAACAAAACGAAGCACAACTACTGTGGATAACGAGAATCAATGGTATTTATTAGTGCTGACTCTCGGCTCTAGCTGAAGAAAGCAGTCTGAGTGTTCGCTGAGAAAGGAATGGAGAATTTGAGCTCCTGTCGTGCTTTGCCTGACTTCTCCCCTATGAGTTAAATGTCCCAGTGGGATGTCCCAGTGAGGCCTGAGCGTGGATGTTCCGGCTCCTCAGACTGAAGCATGATAGGCCCCTCACGCCTGGTGAAAGAGTCTGTGGGAAACAGTCCCCTCCCATCTCCGTGTTTACTGTGCATAGATTAGGCTGACAGGGTAGCACTGTAATGTAATTCTCCCTTCCAGTCACTTCTTGCCCCCACATCCGTTCTTGGTTCCTTTACCCCTTTGGCTGCTCCAGCCAAACACCTGGGTGTCATCCCTAATTCCCTTCCTCTGTCCCCTGCGTCCAGTCTACCAGCAAGGTCTGTGGATCTACCTGTTGCCTCTCAGCCCCATGCCCTCCCTTCCCTTCTGTTTTCTACTGCTGGGTTTTCCAGATCCCCTTGCCACCTGTTGATTTCTGCCAGTGGGAGGCGCCAGCAGGCTATGAGAAGGTGGGAGACAGGAAGCAGCAGCTGTTACTCACAGTTGCCATAGTAGTGGGGTGAAGGTGTGTGGACTTTGGTGCCTTGGTGTGGCACCCCCTCAGCCACTCAAGACCACTGCAGCACCCCTTCTGCCCCAGCACCTGCAGCAGATACCTCCCCTTGCACCTCTCCTTCCTGCAGTCCACTTTCCCATCTCCCTTTTGCTCTGTCAGCCCTTCCAACGCTTTGTGACCGATTTCCCACATTTAACACCCCATGGTAGAAAAACTAGCATGGGGGCACCTGGGTGGCTCAGTGGGTTAAGCCTCTGCCTTCAGCTCGGGTCATGATCTCAGGGTCCGGGGATCGAGCCCCGCATAGGGCTCTCTGCTCAGCAGGGAGCCTGCTTCCACCTCTCTGTCTGCCTGCCTCTCTGCCTGCTTGTGCTCTCTCTCCCTGTCAAATAAATAAATAAAATCTTAAAAAAAAAAAAAAAAGAATAACTAGCATGGGGGTGCCTATGTGGCACAGTCGGTTAAGTGTCCGACTCTTGATTTCAGCTCAGGTCATGATCTCAGGGTCAGGAGACAGGGCTCCATGCTAGGTGTGGGGCGTGCATCAGATTCTCTCTCTCTCTTTCTCTCTGCTCCTCCCCACCCTCTAAAAGAGAAAAGAAAGGGAAGGGAAGGGAAGGGAGAAGGGAAGGGAGAAGGAAGGGAAGGGAAGAATAGGGAAGGGAAGAGAAGGAAATGGAAGGGAGAGAAGAAGGAAGGGAGGGAGGGAGGGAGTTAAGGAGGAAGAAGGAAGGAAGGAAGGAAGGGCGGACGGACTAGCATGATTTCTGACTTCCTGACTGGAGCATGGCTGATGTAGCCGCCAAATTATTTCCTGAATTGCCCCGTCTCTACCTCCACCACTACTTCCTCCCTCATCCGGGGCACAATCACCTCTCACCCGGATGGTGCACCAGCTCAGCTGTCTGGAGACCACAACCACACAGGTCTGGAGCTAGACAGTCAGGGAAACCCGTAAGGCGGCAGCAGTAACTGGTGAGAGACCCCAGGAAAATCAGTTCCGGGAGAATATGATTCACTTAATGCCATTATTGGGCCCGATCCTTATCTCAGCCTGCATAAGGATCAGTCTGTCTTGTCTCTTTCATATTATAGAACAGCACAACAACCTGAAAGAGCATTTTATTTGTGAAATCTTTACCAATAACATTAAGAATGGAAGAAAATAATTCTGTGGCTGTCTCAAAAAGAACATCTTTGAAACTTTCCTCCCAACCTGAGCACCCCAGAATCCCAGACATTCCAGTCTTTCTATTCTTCTAACTCAAGTCCCCACAGCGGTGTAGATGCGTATTCCCATGGGAAGAAAGCCGGAAACAGGCAGAAGCTGTTTAAAGAAGCCGCACAGTACGTTCTGGCAGAGGGGGCAGCGGACTTCGGTGTCCGATCAGGCTGTGGTGCAGGCACGGTTGCCACGAGGCTGGTGACCATCTCTTCTCAGCCAGGGCAGTGGCGCCAGCTCAGCCTTGGAGCAGAGAGACCCAGCGTGTCTCAGCTGAAGGTTAATGTCTCTGCATCTCCAGCTTGGGAAGCAGAGTTGGATGGAGGGGTAAACGCTTTCTTGCCTTCAGCAAGAGCTTTAAAATGCTGTGAGGAGAGAGGAGAGGGTCCTGGAGTATTTTGGCTTGCTAGCGGCTATATTTGAGCAACAACTAACCTCTCGACAACCCGTTCAGCTCCAGTATTTTCCCAGTTCTACTTTCAGAACAATTCCTTGGTGTTGTCTTTGAAAAACAGCTAGGAATTTGCCCCACCTCCTTCAGAGATGAGCCCCTTTTTTCCTTCTGCCCTGTGTCCATTCATTAAGCCCTGTGGTTCTCCCACAGGAGGGAATGTCCCTGCTGGACCCTCACAGGCCTGGTCCTCCAAAGGCCCACAGCTCTTCTGCTTCCCTGCCTGTGCAAGTCCCACCCTTCCTGCTTGCTGTTCTTTGAATGACGGGGAAGGGTGAGTTACCAGAAACATCCTTCCTTGTCGAAGGACGAATCCCAGCCGGCTGGGAAGAGTGGAGACTGGAGCGCTGCTCACTACAGCGGAAGACACTCTGTGCTGGTCTTACCTGTGAGTTCTTGAATTCCGAGTAGAGGGAGAAGAGCAGGTGCAGGGACTGAATCCGGCTCTTGTAGACAGGAATGTCTAGGATGGCTGAAATCAAGAGCTTGCATGAGCAGAACCAAATGCAACTGGGCACTAACGTTTAGGAAAGCCATGCCCCTCCCAGATGGGATGTGTCGCTGTGACTCTGGGGGCATAAGCCCAAATACACCTTCAGGGCTGCCAAACAGCAAACTGGCTTGGAGTGTGGGGTGTAACTCAAGATACTATCTTCCCAGAGCAAATGAGCTTTTTCAAAAGCCCACGATGTACTCGCCCAGAGACGGGGACAGGAAGGGACGGAAGAGCTTACCACAGATCATGTCAACGTACTCCGCCAGGCTGCAGTCGATCTCTGCCGTGGGTAGGCTCACCTGGAAGTTAACGCGGGGCAGACCAGAGTTCGAAGACTGAAGTTTCAGTGGGGCCAGCACCTCTGTCTTTCTCGCTCTCTCTCTCTCTTTTTTTTTTCCAAAGATTTTATTCATTTGTGAGAGAGAGAGAGCGCGCGCACAAGCAGGGGGAGCGGCAGGCAGAGGGAGAAGCAGGCTCCCTGGTGAGCAGGGAGTCGGATGAGGGACTCGATCCCAGGCCCCCAGGATTATTATCTGAGCCGAAGGCAAACACTTAACCCACTGAGCCACCCAGGCGTTCCATCAGTTTCCTTTGCTTGATATTGAAGAGCTCTTTGCTTGGACAGTAATTGTTTCATATGTATATATATATACATATATATTTAAATAATTTTTTTCAGTCTATCACTCTTTTGTTTGCTTAACAGTAACTGCTGGTACTTAGAACTCTATTTTTGAATCTAAATTGTCACATTTTTCCCACTATGACTTTTAACTTTCTTTCTAAAAAAATTTTTTTTTCTTTATTTACTTGAGAGAGCAAGCAAGAGAGAGAGAGAGAGAGTGCACACGAGAAGGGCGAGGGGCAGAGGAAGAGGGAGAAGCAGGCTTCCCGCTAAGCAGGGAGCCTAATGCAGGACTCGATCCCAGGACCCTGGGATCATGACCTGAGCTGAAGGTAGATGCTTAACTGACTGAGCCACCCAGCCACTCTGACTTTTAATTTTCTTAAAAGTAAGAGAAATATGATGCAAAAGAGGATGATTAGATTTAGACAGCACACAAAATAGGCAGGTTGGTCTGGGCTGTTAGAAATCAGGACAGTGATTACGTTGGGAGGTGGAAGCATGAATGGGCCTCCAAGATGGTAGTGATGTTCTGTGTTTTGATCTGATGTGTTTGTTATACAAAGGTGTCCGGCTGCTGAAAATTAACGTGTGTGTGTCTCTGAGCGTGAATTATATTACAATTAAAAAGCAAATGATAATAAGAATACAGGAAAAAGGGGCACCTGGCTGGCTTAGTCAGTAGAGTACGCAACTCTTGATCTCAGGGTTGTAAGTTTGAGCCCCACATTGGGTATAGAGATTACTTAAAAATAAAATCTAAAAAAAAGAAAAACTTAAAGGGCACCTGGGTGGCTCAATTGGTTAAGTGTTGGACTCTTCGTTTTAGCTCAGGTCGTGATCTCAGGGTCATGGGACTGAGCCCCACATCAGGCTTCGCACTCAGTGGGGAATCAGCTTCTCTCCCTCTCCCTCTGCCCCTTCTCATGCTTTGGTGCTGGTGCTCACACATACTCTCTCAAATAAATATAAATAAATAAATAAATAAATACTTAAAGTTGGTCAATTAAAAAAAACTTTAATACAGGGCCTTCAAGTAAATGACACTTTTTTTTTTAGCTCCTGCTCCTTCCACTTACCTTGCCCAAAAGCTCTTCAAACTCTGGGGACCATTCCTGCATCAGCGTGTCAATATCAGGCATGGGCCTACATGGACAGAAGTAAGTATGAGCAAGAAACATGGACCAATGACATCAGCAACCTCTGGGTCAGGAGATTGTAGGATGAAGGGAGGTGGTCAGTCTGAGAACACAGACTGGGCCGACGTATCCAGGGTCTGGGGGTCTGGAAGAATGGTTAAGGAATACCAGATAAATCACAATCTTTATGTCTGCAATTTCAGCCAGTAGCTGTCAAGATCGACAGGACATCAGGTTAACCCAGTATATGCTCTGCCTGTGGGCCTTCCTCTCAGAAGCAATGGGTCTGCGGGTGGTGAAGGTTTCCGGGGGTTACTGTGGGGAGGGTAGTACTTCTTACCTGGTATAGTGCACAGTCGCAGGGGGCTTAGAACGGTGTAACTCCGAGATGCTCTCGATCCACGTGTCAATGGCTTTGGGATTCTTCTCTGCATCTTCTAGGCTCTTTACTTTCATATGTTGCTATAAAAATAAGGGGAAACCCTGGCTGATGGGATTAAAGTAACTCTCTTATTTTTTTTTAAAGATCTTATTTATTTATTTGTCAGAGAGAGAGAGAGAGAGAGAGAGCACAACCAGGGAAGCGGCAGGCAGAGGCGGAGGAAGAAGCAGGCTCCCCGCCGAGCAAGGAGCCTGATGCGGGACTCAGTCCCATGACCCTAGGATCATGATCAGAGCTGAAGGCAGCTGCCCAACCGACTGAGCCACCCAGGCATCCCAGTAGCTCTTATTTTAACGGGATGGCTCATCATTGCTGCTGTTTCGTATATAGCAGGTAGCTGATGAATGGGGAAGCGTGATGGCAGCCAATGGAGATGAGAGGAAACTCTGCTAAATTTTCTGGAGCCATGCAAAGCGGGCAGCTCAACAGGATAGGACTGACCACACCAAGATGGTATTTCACACCACTAGGATGGCTGGAATAAATAAGACAGGCAGTGACAAGTGTTGGCGAAACTGCCACTCTCGTTCATTGCTGGTGGGATTGTAAAATGGTTCAGCTGCTTTGGAAAACAGTGTGGCAGTTCCTCAAAGCGTTAAGCAGTTAGCATGCAGCCCAGCAATCCCTCTCCTACATACATACCCAAGAGAAATAACAATATATGCCCAAGCAAAAACTTGTACGTACACACAAGCTCACAGCAGCATGTTAGTAAAAGTGGGAACAACTGGAGACCAGATAGCCACATTGTGGTATGTCCACACAATGGAATATGAGTGAGCCATAAAAAAAGGAGTGAAGTATGATTTTACTTATATGGGGAATCTTAAAAAAAATGAATAAACAAAAAGCAGAATCAGACCTACAAATACAGGGAATGAACTGGTGTTTACCAGAGGGTAGGGGGTGGAAGGGATGGGCAAAAAAGGTAAAGGGGAGTGAGAAATACAGCCTTCCAGTTATGGAGTGAGTCACAGGAGTAGAAGGCACGGCCTAAGGGCTACAGTCGGTAGTGCTGTAATAGCGCTGTGCAGTGGCAGACGGTAGCTACGCTTGCGGTGAGCACAGCACAAGGTACAAACTTGTCCAGTCGCTGTATTGTACACCTGGAACCACCGTAACATTGTATGTCAGCTGTACTCAAATAGAAAAAAGAAGGAACTGAAGTACTTAGCAAGGTCTAGGAGGAGTGGGGAATGAGGAGTGACTACTAATGAGATTTCTTTCTGGAATAATGAAAGTGTTCTTAAATTAGACAGCAGTGATAATTTGTACAGCTCTGTGAATACACTAAAAATCACTGAAGTGTACAATCTAGAAGGGCAAACTTCATTGTAAGTAAATTATATCTCAATGAACTATTTTTTTTTAAAAATAGGGTTGGCCTGAAACCACAGCCATCCCTTTTGATGGGCAGGAAGTCAAGTGCACAGATACCAGCCTGTCCTGGGCCATTATCTTACTGTGACGTTGTGCTGTTTGGAATTCTCAGTTAACCAGAGCGAGAGCACTGTGGGGTCCGACTGCTTTGTAGAAGGCTCGTCCAATACCAACAGGCCAAGGTTGTCAGGCTTTCCATCAGGACGTGGGACCTGGTTAAGAGAAAGGAAGAGACAGAAAAAAATGGGAGGGGGCACATAAAAAGGTCAGACCTGTTGTTTCCAATAAGTCAAAGAGGAAGACCTCTTCCCACTCATCGTTAATTACTGGTATTAAAAGGCATGCTTGTCTATCATGCAGTACTAAAGCACTATCTACAAAAAAACACATGATCCTCAGTGCCTTAAATGTAAAGCTAATAATTAGGAGGTAAATGAATGACAAGTTTTTAATATATAATGATTCAATCAAGTATTACCTAAATAGCAATGAGTAGAATCAGGAAAACCAGATTGAGAACACCAATGAAATGAAGAACATATATAAAGGTAACCAATGCTAGCCAAGGGAATTAGTTGGATTGTTAACAGTAATAGACAGGCCAGAAGAAACACCTAAGAGGTCATTTTTAGGATGTGCCAACTGTACCTTTAAGAATGCGTCAATATCCCCAACAGCAGGGATAAAATCAGGAATGAAAGGTTTCAGTTTGTGGTCCAGGTCAATCAACTGAGGTGTGTACCTAGGAGACATCGCCAAGGGAAGGTAGAGAAAGTCAGAGAAGTGGACTTTACCGCTCAGGCTGAAAAAATCTAGGAAGAACAGGCTTGTTTCAGACTAGAGGTAGGAAAGGGGTGCGGGTCACGTGAGGAAGGCCTTGTGCTCACCTGCTGATATACTGGAAAAGTTCCTTAATCTCCGCGGACACTGGCAAATGCTCATAATCTGCGGGATCATAGGCCCTGGAGAAAGGAAAGTGTGCGGCAAAGTGGCAAGGTGGAGCAGATGTGGCCAAGCCCAGGTTCAGGATCAGTCAGTGTGGCCCCCCACTGCCGAACTTTGACCACAGACCCTGTGACTCTGAACCTGGTTTGGGTCCCACCGACATCTGCCTTTCCTGCGTGGTTGGCAAGGCAACTTTAAAGATTTTTTTTTTTTTTAATTTGACACAGAGAGAGAGAGAGTGTGTGAGAGAAGGAATACAAGCAGGGGGAGTGGGAGAGGGAGAAGCAGGGTTCCATGGAGCAGGGAGCCCGATGCGGGGCTCCATCCCAGGACCCTGAGATCATGACCTGAGCTGAAGACAGAGGCTCAACCCACTGAGCCACCCAGGTGCCCTTAGGCACCCCAAGATTTTATTTTATTTTATTTTAAAGATTTTATTTATTTGACAGACATAGATCACAAGTAGACAGAGAGGCAGGCAGAGAGACAGGAAGGGAAGCAGGCTCTCCACTGAGCAGAGAGCCCGACGTGGGGCTCGATCCCAGGACCCTGAGATCATGACCTGAGCCGAAGGCAGAGGCTTAACCCACTGAGCCACCCAGGCGCCCCAAGATTTTAATTTCTGACATGAGAATAGTTTGCCTCAAGAGAAATAAGAATTTTTACAAAAATGTTTTTAATAGTTGTATTTATAAAAGTAAAATATTAGAAACAAAATATCCAATACTTAAAAGATGGTTAGGTATATTAATTGAATACTGTATAGTTATTATTATTTTTAATTTTTAAGTAAGCTCTACACCCAGCATGAGGCTTGAACTCACAACCCAGAGGTTAAGAGTCACACACTGTACTGATGAGCCAGCCAGGAGTCCCAGATACTGTATGGTTATTAAAGAGTATTTGTATTGATACAGGAAATATATGCAGTAAAAAAAAATAGTAGAACACATTAATTCTAACAATTATTATTTTTTAAGATTCTATTTATTTGGGGCGCCTGGGTGGCTCAGTGGGTTAAGCCTCTGCCTTCGGCTCGGGTCATGATCCCAGGGTCCTGGGATGGAGCCCCGCATCAGGCTCTCTGCTCAGCAGGGAGCCTGCTTCCCCCTCTCTCTCTGCCTGCTTCTCTGCCTACTTGTGATCTCTGTCTGTCAAATAAATAAATAAAAATCTTAAAAAAAAAAAAAACAACTTCTAGGGGTGGGTCATGACTCATCTAGCTCAAGGGCTGGAACAGGGTAAGGAGATTTTTTCAAATATTTTATTTATTTATTTATTTGACAGAGTGACAGCGAGAGAGGGAACACAAGCAGGGGGAGTGGGCAAGGTAAAAGCAGGCCTCCTGCTGAGCAAGGAGCCCGATGTGGGGCTCGATCTCAGGACATTGGGATAATGAACCAAGCTGAAGGCAGATGCCCAATGACTGAGCGCTCTAAGGAGATATTTTTAAAAGATTTATTTATTTATTTGATAGAAAGAGAGATAGAGAGAGGGAGAAGTAGGGAGCCTGACTCAGGGCTCAGTCCCAGGGTCCTGGGATCATGACCTAGGCCAAAGGCAGATGCTTAACTGACTGAGCCACCCAGGCATCCCAGAGATTTTTTTTTTAAAGATTTTATTTTATTTATTTGAGAGAGAGAGAGAGAACATGAGTGGGGGTGGGAAGGCTCTCAGTCCCAGGACCCCAGGATCTTGACCTAAGATGAAGGCAGAAGCTTAATTGACTGAGCCACCAAGGCACCTGGGTAAGATTTTTTTTACCAAAGCATCACCAGGGACATCTGCCTCCATGTGGGGCACCGGAAGCACTTACTCTCCACTCTCTCAAAAGGTGCTGAACCTAAAGCAGAAATGTTCCCTGTGCATGTGTTTTCCTTGCTAAACAGAATTGCTTGGGTATGTATATAAATTTTATTTTCCCTTTCCCAAAATAAGAGCTCCCCGAAGGCAGGGACCACCTTTTAGATTTATTCAGCAAATCAGCATGAACCCCCCCCGAGCCCACAAATATTTCAGATAATGCAAGTGACATCACAGAACTCAGTGAGGCAGTGTAGCCAGGAAAGAAGGAAAATTCATTCTGTTGGTTTCTGAGACATCTGAAAATCCTAAGTAAGGGAGATCAAAAGAGATGCTAGAATTTCACTCCCAACTCATCTCCTCCCAGGCCAGTGTCTTCCTCCCTGCCAGGGGGCTTTCCTCACCCTTCCAGAGGGGCCCCGTGCTCTTCGTCATCATCATCTTCATCAGAATCCGTCTCAGATGAGTCGTCGTCATCATCATTTTCACTGAAGGCCCGCTGAGGTGTCAGCTGCGAGGTCTTCTTCTCCTGAGATGGGGCAGGGCAGGCATGGAAGGCGCCACATGAAGAGAAGCTTAGTATACCTATGCCCGTCCCTCCCGCTGCTCCCACAGCTACCCTCCCACCTGGCACCACTTTCTAGTGAAAGAGAAACATGCTCCCCAGAAAGGCTGCAAGAACTTTTGTCTACTCCTGCTTAGCTACAAACTGGGTCCTCACTTTCTTTTTCTTTCTTTTTTTTTTTTTTTTTAAGATTTTATTTATTTACTTGTCAGAGAAAGAGCACAAGGAGGGAGATAGGCAGAGGGAGAGGGAGATTCCTCCACTGAGGAAGGACCCCAATGTGGGACTTGATCCCAGGACCCTGGGATCATAAGCTCAGGCGAAGGCTCGGGCAGCTTAACCAACTGAGCACCCCCCCCCCCCCACCTGGCATCCCGGTCCTCACTTTCTATAACCATATTCTATTTTTCTCCTTGAGGCTTCAGTATAAATTTTATCCAACAATTGTCCATTTTGTCTATTACTTAGGAGTAACTTGTCCAATCAGCTTCAACTCTAAAAGTTAGGGGATTTTGCATAAGAGGAAGGCACCTGGCATGAGTTATTTGGAAGGAGATGGGGGAACATGAAGTTGGAAGACAACTTCACACTCACAAGGATCACAAGAAATCTAGCATTTAATTTGCAAGATAGCCCAGGGTTAGCTGCTTATAACTCTCAGAAGAAGGTGCATAACGAACCCTGTGCCTGAATTCCGACCAGCAGTTCCAGGACCTGGGAGTCTTCTATTCCATTCAGTGATACTTCTCTTTGGTGGGAAGCCGCCCTGCCTGTGTTTCCCTTCCCTGCCCCATCAGTTAAATGTAGTGACTACATGTTCTATCTCAAGATGAGAGACTCTTCCATTCTTGGCATTACATCCTGACCTTTCTGGGTCTCTAAGTACCATCTTCTCCTCTCAAGTGTATGAGGAGTCTGGTTTGGGGACTTGCAGGGGCTTTTGGGACGGGGTCCATGTCTTTGCCTCTGTGGCCTGGAGCTTGTGGCATGCCCTCACTTAGGACCTGAAGAATAGCCAACTGGCCCCCTTTGTAAGTAGGTTTGTTTTTTTCAATATAAGTAGGTTTTGAGGGGCCCCTGGGTGGCTCAGTTGATAGGGCATGGACTTTTGGTCTCGGGTTTGTGAGTTCAATCCCCTCTTTAGGGCTTACCTAAAAATAAATAAGTAAACAAAAGATTAAAAAAATAAAAGTAGGTTTTGAAAGCTTGATTTCCATATACCATATGACTTATACTGAGGTTAGTAGACGTTTGGTTCTAGTTTTAAAAATTATTTAATGTTTCAAAAATGTGACACATTACAGGACATCAGAAATGCTTTTGGTCACATGTTCTTCTAAGCGTAACAGATTTGTTATACATGGATAAAAATACATTTTAACTAATCTGTAATATGTGTGTGACAAAAAGTTACACAATTTATTTAGTGACTATGACCTACTGGTATACATTGATAAGAATCTCTTAATGTGTTCCTTTTTTTTTTTTTCCCTAAAGAGGAAGAGTGGGGAGGAGCACGGGGAAAGGGAGAGAAAGACTCTTAAGTAGACTCCATGCCCAGTCCTGGGCCCAGAGCAGGGCAGGCGGCGGTGGCCGGGGTTCTGATCTCACACCCTGAGATTATGACCTGAGTCAAAATGAAGTCTGATGCTTAACCAACTGAGCCACCCAGGTGCCCCAAATTGTTCTTTCTCAATTCAAAATCTGCCAAAGCTATCCTTGTTTGGCAAAGGGAGCTTTTTAAGAATACTGATGGTCAATTTAAAGGTCATTCAAAAATATATCCTTTCGGGGTGCCTGGGTGGCTCAGCTGGTTGAGCGTCTGCCTTTGGCTCAGGTCATGATCCTGGAGTGTCCGGATCAAGTCCCACATCAGGCTCCCAGCTCCATGGGGAATCTGCTTCTCCCTCTGACCTTCTCCCCTCTCATGCGCGCTCTCTCTCTCTCACAAATAAATAAATAAAATCTTTAATAAAACAAAAGAAAACACACACAAAAAAACCCAAAAATATATCCTTTCTGCTGATTCTGGTTGCACACTGAATTAGAAAGATAAATGAGTCTTGAATATTGGCCACAGCACGATGCAGACTACATAAATTTAGGGTGAATATGCAAAATTAGGTCAATTTAGGAAAACTCATTTTTTTTTTTGTCTGCTTCTTCACAACTGTGCTTTGCAAAATCTCTGATCTAAAGGCTTTATATGCCATAGACTAATGCCTAAAAAATTACTTTGTGGGTAAGGTGTTAAAACAGCACACTAGTCACAAAGGAGGAATACTTTATTTACTAAAAAAAAAAAAAGATTTTATTATTTGAGAGACAGAACAAGAAAGAGAGCACAAGCAGGGAGGAGAGGGAGAAGCAGGCTCCCCATTGAGCAGGGAGCCCGATGTGGGGCTCAAAACTAGGACCCGGGATCATGACCAGAGCTAAAGGCAAATGGTTAACCAACTGAGCCACCCAGGTGCCCCCACTTACTTCTTAAGAAAGATTTATTTATTTATTTGAGAGAGAGTGCACATGCATATGCATGAGTGGGGAGTGGGCAGAGAGACGGAGAGAAGCAGACTCTGCTGATCAAGGAGGTGGAGGCCGGGCTCCATCTCACAAACCGGAGATCATGACCTGAGCCAAAATCAAGAGTCTGACACGCAAATGACTGAGCCACCCAGGTGTCTCTACTATTTTTAAAAATACTTTATTTATTATATTTTTTAGTAATCTCTACACACCCAATGTGGGGCTCGAACTCAGGACACTGAGATCAGGAGTCACATGCTTTTCCCACTGAGCCAGGCAGGCACTCCAAAGTGGGACTACTTTAAAATGTGACCTTTTAGGCTTTTTATGCTATCAGTCTACATTACTACAGCTTTTTGCACTACTTCAAATATCCTTCTTCACTTGTTTGCAAAGCTCCTGTTGTTGAAGGACAATTAAAATGTAACCATTGGGGGCGCCTGGGTGTCTCCGTTAAGCCTCCACCTCTTGACTTAGGCTCAGGTCATGATCTCAGGTTTATGATCTTAAGGTCATGAGATACAGCCCTGTCTAGGGCTCCCTGGTGAGCAGGAAGTCTGCTTCTCTCCTTCTCCCTTTCCCTCTGACCCCCCCTCTCTCAAATAAATAAAACTTTTTTTTTTTTTAAAGATGCTATTTATTTATTTATTTGACAGAGAGAGAGAGCAAAAGCAGGGGGAGCGGCAGGCAGAGGGAGAAAAAGGAGCCCAATGGGGAGCTTGATCCCAGGACCCTGGGATGATGACCTGGGCCAAAGGCAGACGCTTAACGACTGAGCCACCCAGGTTCCCCCTCAAATAAATAAATCTTTTTTTTTTTTTTTTAAATATTTCATTTATTTATTTAACACAGAGAGAGATCACAAGTAGGCAGAGAGGCAGGCAGACAGGAGGAAGCAGGCTCCCCGCCGAACAGAAAGGCCGACGCGGGGCTCGATCCCAGGACCCCGAGACCACGACCTGAGCCGAAGGCAGAGGCTTAACCCACTGAGCCACCCAGGCACCCCTCAAATAAATAAATCTTAAAAAAAAAAAAGTAATCCCCGGATTACGTGCTAAGACCGAACACAGTGGCAGTTAAACAGAGCACGTGCACAGCTTCAAGGGCCTGCCTAGAGCTGTAGACATCTTTCCATCTTTCGTTCAGTAATCCTCCAGGTTCACAGAACAACAATGAAGCGACAACTTCAAAATTAAAGTCTCTTTCACAAAATATTGGCAGTATCCCAAATGCTGACAATGAACAGATGCTAGACCAATAATTCCAAGCTTGCTTTACCATAAGACTTACTTGGAGTGCTTGCTAAAAATACAAATTCTCAGGCTTTTTCAAGATTCTGATTCAGTAGTTCCAAGTGGGAACTACTGGAGAATGTATTGTTAAAGATAAGTATCCTACTTGACTCTTATGCCCAGTAAAGGTTGCAAAACACTGGCCTGTATTATATGAAATTCCTCACCAAAAAGTTAGCTGTAAGAGTAGGCTTTACTCCTGAAGTAATCAAAATCTTAAGACTCTTTGCTCCTGATTTTCCTACATGAGCTCAAAGGTACCCAACCCTGCCCCTGGAGGTGAGGATCCAAGAAATGTTTACTACTGAACGACTGTCATCTCAAACTAACTACCAATAGCTCAAAGCAAGAAAGTGCGAGAAGCTGTGGCTTGTACTATACCTTGTTGTTTTCCTCTTCATACTCATCACTGCTGTTGTCAGCCATAGTCTTGTTAGGAAGATCAGTGGAATGAAGAAGTCCTTAGAAGACAAGTTTTCCCATTAGATTATTAAGATGATTTTTAAAGATAAATATTTTTAAGTTTATAATATTTTATGTTCTGTTTTATGGAACAGTGTCTTTAAGAACATCTAGTTAAAGGAAAGGAGACTGAATTCTAACCATGGTTCTGTCAACTCAATTCAGGATACATTTACTAAGTATTACTGTGCGTAAGGCATTAGATTAGACATTATACTTATCGATTATCTGCCATTACATAAATCATATAAAATCTTCCCTTAGTTTACACATTGGTAAGATAAGGTTAGTAATTAATAAAATGACAAGAGGGCTGGATTGATGGTCAGAAGACTGGGATTAAAGAATAACTCTAGGGGTGCCTGGGTGGCTCAGTCAGTGAGGCGATTGCCTTCAGCTTGGGTCGTGATCTCAGGGTCCTGGGATCAAGCCCCACATCGCGCTCCCTGCTCAGCGGGGAACCTGCTTCTCCCTCTTCCACTCTGCCTGCTTGCACTCTCCCTGTCTGTCAAATAAATAAATAAAATCTTAAAAAAAAAGAACAATTCTCTGACATGTACAAAATGACTTAACCTGAGTCTCAGTGTTCCCACATCTGAAGGGAGGCACTAATATTTATCACTCAGAACTGCTATGAGGATCAAACGACAAAACTCAAGTGAAAAGAACTGACCCAGCAAATGGCAAATAATAGTCACAGGTATAAATCTGAATCCATATGATAAGAGGAATAAAAATATTCTGAACAATTAAAAGTATAATCAGATGTAAGATAGTAACCTGCAAGAAAACCATGTTCAATGATCACTTTTCAAAAAAGACTTATTTTATTTATTTTAGGTGTGGGCAGAGGGAGAGGGAGAGACGATCCCAAGTAGACTCCATGCTGAGCGTGGAGCCCGACCTGGGGCTCAATCTCATGATCCCGAGATCATGACCTGAGCCGAAACCAAGAGTCAGACACTCAACCAATTGTGCCACCCAGGCGCCCCATGTTCAATGAATTCTAAATCAAATTAATGCAAATTAAACACCACTTTTCAGCCTACTACGTTACCCAAACTGAAAACAAATGATAATGTCCATGGCCAGCAAGATCATATGCATGCTCAAATCAAAAACCTTGTCTCTGTGTGTGTGTGTGTGTGTGTGTGTGTATCTCCCCCAAAAGACTGAAAGCAGGAACTCAAACAGATTGTACGCCCATGTTCATAGCAGCAGAGTCACAATAGCCAGAAGGTGGAAAAACCCAAGTATCCATCAACAGACAAACGGATAAACAAAATGTGGTTATACATACAATGGAATATTATTCAGCCACAAAAAGGAAGGGAACAAACACAGGCTACAGCATGGATGAACCATGAAAACATTATGCTAAGTGAGATAAGCCAGGCAAAATAAACCAGGCAAAAGGACAAATGTTGTATGATTCCACTTTTGTGGAGCACAGAATGGATGAAGTCATAGACACCAAGGAGAACAGAGGCTACCAGGGCCTGCCAGGGACAGGAGAATGGGGAGTTATTGTTGAATGAGTACTTTTGGTTCAGGATGATGAAAAAGCTCTGGAAATAGACAGTAGAGATAGTTACACAACAATATGAAGGCATCTAATGCCACTGCATTGTACACTGAGAAATAAGTAAAATGGCAAATTTTATGCTGGGTATACTTACTGCAATAAACAAGCAACCCCAGATGTCATCCTTGATTCCTAACTCAAGAGCCAAACCCAACCCATCAGCCATTTACAACCCAAATACATTTCTTGTATTTGCCTCCACTCTCTATTCTTACCCTCCTCACCATATCCAAGTCACTGTCACCTCAGCCCAGCCATTGCAACAGTGCTTGCAACTGCCTCCTGACTTTCATCATTGCACCTTTCAATCCAAGACACACATACCAGCAACGTGACCTCAAAAGCTCCTCTTGTTAGGCCTCCTGCCTACCTCTTGCCTGCCTGCCTTTGATACCACTCCTTCCTACCATATGCTGGTCTCTTTAAAGTCCTCAAACGAACCCAAGTTCTTTCTGGCCTGAGGTCCTTTTCACATTTCACTGCTGCTCCCTTTTCCTGGCCTACTTCTCCTCAAAGTCCGTCTGGATCCTTCCTATCTTCCAGTCTCAAGTGTCACCTCCTCAGATATTCCTTGACCATCCCATTAAAAGTAGATCCCCCGCCTCACCATTATTCTCCATCACATCAAACCCTTTGCCTCCATCAGTGCACTTCCCACATTTGTAATTATGTCTGTTTACTCATTTGTCATCGATGCTTGTCTCTTACAAATATCAGGATGGCAAGGTCAAAGTCTCTTTTAATACTGTATACCTAGTGCCACACATAAAGCTGACACATGGTAGGTATTCAAGAAATGTCTGCTGAATAAATGACCGTGTCAAGTCCTGTTAAAAGATTCTACTGAGATTTTCATTGGGATTGCAAGGGCAGGTTACTGAAGCATCTTCAAAACTGAGCAAGACAGTTTTGATACGTTCAAACCAACCAATCAACCAGCCCAACCAACCATGAATCCGTGGCAGATTGTGAGCAGAGTATCATGAAGCAAATGGTAACAGGGAACACTGGTCAGGTTGGAGGAAAATCCTGAATCTGGGGGCCTGTGTTTTCTCCCCCCTTAACTAGTTAGAAAACACAAATAATGGCAAGCGTTTGCCAAACTGGACTCTGAAAGCCAACATTTGCTATTATAAAATGGGGACTTCTTGGAAACTATCACGGATCCATCCTGTTCCTTGTTCTGAGAACCATTTCTCTTCTTTCCTCTTGATTCCTCTCTTACCTGTGTGTCTTGGGGTTGGAGTATGAATACTTGGAACCTCTTCAGAGTCGTTAATCTCTAGACGCTCATCATACGTCTGGTTTTCAACAATCTTGGTCTAAATGAAAGGAGACATGACTACATAGCTCATATCACAGGATATGAGCTGATTCCTGACCAGCCTTGGTTCCTCCTCCTTACCCAAGTCACTGGTTTTACATGTAACCTTCACCCCCCATTCAAACCATTCTGCTGCCGCTCTTATTTAGCAACTGCCGGCCGGCTGGCTGAGGAAGGAGGGAATCGTGGAGGGAAACGACAGCTAACTTAGGCAGCAGCTCCCCAAAGCTGTAGATACACGCGCAAGGGTGCTACAGTATTCGTCTTCGAGGGCAGCTCTCTCCTTAGGTTCGGTCAGTTTTCCCAAGGATGCTGGGGTTTCTCGGGATTGGCGGTGGGGTGAGAGGGAGCTGCAGAGGCTCTAGAAAGAGTTCTGTCTCCGGAGTCACCTTGTTTACCAGAGGAGAGGATGAACTCCAGTCTCTCGGTCCCATCCATTAAACTCCAAGAGCATCACCCCCATCTCCACCCCCTGTCTTGGGGGTCGGATCCCACTTAAGTTTCTTGGGGGAGTGAAGGAAGCAGAACGGTTGCTGGTGGCGTGAAGGACGAGGAGAAGGAACGGTTGTCAAGGAGATGGGAAGAGATGGGGAGTGTTGGAGGGAAGGGGAGTCCCTTAAGATTCCTCTTGGGAGGGAGAAAGGCAGTGCTGTTTCTGCTAGGGAGAGTACGAATTACCTGTAGCCCCTCTGAATCCGTCTCCTCTATATGGGAAGAACCCCAGCCTAGGGCCGGGGTCTCACTCCAGTATTAGGCCACTTGAGGGGCTTCGACGTGGAGCTACAGGCCTTGTTGTCAGTCGCTAGGCAAAAAAAAAAAAAAAAAAAAGAAAGAAAGAAAGAAAGAAAAAATCGCGAGACTTGCTTTCAGTCTCGTGAGACTTCTCCACTCGCGCTTTGCGTCCCTTCCAGCGGCAAAGGGATCCGAGGAGGATCTGGCGGCGTTTGGATAAAGCCTCTCGGGGCAGTCTAGTCCCCTGTTTTTCTATGGTTTCAGGAAATGCGTTTGTGGCGGCATCTAGCGACCACGTCTTGGCAAAGCCGGCTGATGAAGCCCTCCGATCGGGAAATGCGGTGCACGTTTCTCCCCCAGGATAAGGGAGTTTTTCCTCAATCAGAATTTAGGCCGACTCTCGAGGGAGCATCCCCACAGCCCTTCGTATGTCCCTTTACAGCATTTCTGTTACATTATAGTCCGTCCCTTTCACGCTGTCTCATTGTCTGGGACATGTCGTACATGTTATACCAAGAAATTATTCGTTATTTGAGATTTAAATTTAATTTAGTTTCCTATATTTTTATTTGCTGAGGAAGACAGCTTCTCTAGACAGGGTCTGTGTCTAATTTTTAAGTTCTTTGTAGCAGCAGTGCCTTGCGTAAGTTAGGCACTTCATGTTTGTTGGATGGGGCAATGAGGGAATAAGTGAATGAAGATGTAAGGAACAAATATTTCAAAACTAGAGGCATAGTTAATTTGGGGAGTCAGAGAGAGAGAGAGAAACAAAAACAAAGAAACAAAGTATTGAAATTTAACCCTGAAAACCTGCCAGAGGAAAATGGGATGTCGCTTTAAAAAGGAAAACGAGAGACACCTCTTTTGAGATATTTCGCGTTAAAAATGGAACTGCAAAACTTTCAAATTTTTGTGTCACCTGTTATTGCTAATAATAATGCATACGTCTTGTTGAGCACTTACTATGCAGGAGCACTTAGATGATATAATCTTATTTATTAATATATTATCTAACTTCACAACCTTATGGGATATATGTTCCTGACAATTGACAGATTAGATAAGAGTTACCTGCCTGGAGTCACTCAGCTAGTAAGTGGGCAAAATGGAAGTCCAACACAGGTCTAATGCCCAAGTCTTGGCTTCTAACCATTATGACATATCGCCTATAAGGCTCTTGTGAGAAAGTACTTACGGGTTGCTGTTCTTATGCAGTGTAATTTAGCTAATGTCTTATTTCATAAGAATCACCATCAGTTGGTCTTGGCTGAGCTTTGGTGGTCCATATCAAAGGCCCCTGGAAGCTGCCACAAAAAAATGATAATTCCAGGCAAGATTTTTACTTTTTTAAATTAAGAATTTGTCTTTTTTACAGTATTTTCTTTACAATATTTTTATTTTAAAAAATTTATTTATTAGAGAGAGGGAGCATGACAGATCAGCATGAGAGCAGGGAGGAGGGGTAGAGGAAGAAGCAGACTCCCCTGATCAGGGAGCAGAATGTGGGACTCCCATCTCAGGACCCTAGGATCATGACCAGAGCTGAAGGCAGACACTTAACAGACTAAGCCACCCAGGCACCCTACAAGATGTTTTTATAACAAAAATATAAAACACAGTTTGACATATATCCTCCCAGACATGCCAAGTTTTTAAATATATGAGCTTCTATAATGCAGTGCTTAAGAGCACAGGTTCTAAAGTTGAATAGCCTTTGTTTGAATCCTGGCTTTGCTACTCTGTAACCCTGACATCTGTGATAGAAGTTTTCCTCTTTCTGTTTTTGTTTTCATTTTGTTTTAAGTAGACTCTGCGCCTACTGTGGAGCCCAACTGGGGCTTGCACTCACCACCCTGGGTCAAGCCCTGAGCTGAGATCAAGAGTCGGATGCTTACCCAGCTGAGACACCCAGATACCCCTAGGTTTCCTCTTTATGTCTTGGTTTCCCCACCTGTAAAATAAGAGATATTGGTGGTACCTATTTCCAAGAGTTCTAGTGAGGATTTTTTTTTTTTTTTTTGGGACACTCACTGAAAGAAAACTTTTTGTTACTTTTATGTACAGAAAATTCAAAAGCATCCACTTAGCCTAGTTTGGTGGCTAGTTCTTTAGCCTTTGCCTTTTCTAAGTTGGCAATGCAAGCCACCAACTTTGTTGCACCCTGGACGGTGCCTCCCAAGTGTCGGCAGATCTCGTCATATCTGTCACTGTCATTTGTCCTGACGGCTTGCACCAGCTTAGCCAGAATCCTTTGTCTTCTGAGTTAGCCTGTGTGAAGGCAATAGTGGTGCAGGTCTTCCTGTGCCACCAGACGCCCCAGCCTGGCCTTCTCCTTGATAATGCTAGCCAGGAACCCCCATCCTATGACACAGGGCAGGCAGGAAGACAGCCAGCTCAATGGGATCCACACTATATGCAATCACTAACAGCTGAGACTTCCTGTTTTCCACCAAGGTGGTGACAGTGTTAACCCCAGCTCAAAGGACAATCAGCCTCTTAGTGGGGATATTCCCTTTGCTGACAGCTTTCTTCTCAGCCCCAGCCAACAATCTCTGCTTCTTCCTTGCTTTGTCTCTGGTCTGTATTTGTGGGCCAGCTTAAGCAATTGAGTGGCCGTTTGGTGGCCTAACACCTGGGTGAACTTGTTAATCACAGGAGGCGCTTGTAGACATTTACAGAGCAGCCCTTTGCTGCTACAGCCGGAGGTAGTGGAGCCATTTGACAAAGCAGGTGAGGTCCCTTTTGGATGGGATGTCCTGTCCAATGCCAAAATTATTGGGCCTTTTCTCAAACAGGGGATTGACCACCTTCTTGGCCTCCTGCTTCTTCACAACAGCAGGGGCTGGGACCACCTTGTTCCCCTTAACCACCCTTTCTTTTGTCATCTTGAATGGCTGGAGGGAGTTTTGTAGGGGAACTAATGAGATAATCCATGAATGAGATAATGCATTACTTTAGAGTAATGCCTGACTCATTTTAAGTGTTCAGTAAGCATTAAGGAATATATAAGAGATAAAAAGAGTGTCATCAGGAGAAAAGCTGGCTTTGAATCCTGGCCCTACCATTTACAGACTGGAGAGGTGTTTAACTTCTTTGATCCTCAGTGTCCTTATCTGGATTGTTATAAAGGGTTAGAGATAACGTATAAAGTACCTGACACAAAATAAACACTCAATAAAAGAATGCTGTTTATCCATTTCAGCAGTGGATGTGTGCTGTAGAGCCGAGCCAATGGTACGGGATGAAATGATATAGGATGTCCGAAAGAACTGCTTAATCAGGTCTATTCAGTCTGACTTTTGGCTTTGGAGAATTGCCAACAGAATCAGAAAACTGGATCTGAGTTTTATTTCCATTATAAACTGGCTTAGAACTTTGTGTAAATTTCTTTTCTTTGAATATTTTATTAATGGGGAGCCTGGGTGGCTCAGTGGGTTAAAGCCTCTGCCTTCGGCTCAGGTCATGATCCCAGGGTCCTGGGATCCAGCCCCCATTCCGGCTTTCTGCTGGGCAGGGAGCCTGCTTCCCCCCACCAGTTGCCTCTCTGCCTACTTGTGATCTCTGTCAAAAAAATAAATAAAATCTTTTAAAAAATAAAGATTTTATTTATTTATTTGAGAGAGAGCAAGAGAGAGAGAGTGTGAGCTGGACAGAGGGAGAGGGAGAAGCAGACTCCCCAGTGATCAGGGAGCCCAATGCAGGGCTCAAATCCAGGACCCTGGGATTATGACCTGAGCTGAAGGTGGACACTTAACTGACTGAGCCAGTCAGGCACCTGTGTAAATTTCTTAAACTTGTCATCACCTTTTTCATCTATAAAATATCCTTTTTTTTTTTTAAGGTATAGAATTTAGGAGCACCTTCCTGGCTCAGTCTAGGAGCACCTACCTGGCTCTGTTGGTAGAGCATATGACTCTTGATCTCCGGGTTGTGAGTTCAAACCCTACGTTTATTTAAAAATAAAATCTTTATTTTTAATTTAATTTTATTTTAAAGATTTTATTTATTTGATAGAGAGAGACACAGCAAGAGAGGGAACACAAGCAGGGGGAGTGGAAGAGAGAGAAGCAGGCTTCCCACAGAGCAGGAAGCCCGATGTGGGGCTCAATTCCGGGACTCTGGGATCATGACCCGAGTCGAAGGCAGACACTTAACGACTGAGCCACCCAGACACCCTAAAAATCTTTAAAAAAAAGATATAAACCATAAATATTCACTCTTTTAAAGTGTATAATCTGTGGTTTTTAGTATAGTCACAAAGTTGTGCAACCCTCACCTCTAATTGCAGAACATTTTCTTCACTTCAAAAAACAAATCTTACTCCCCATTCCTTCCCTCTCCTAGTGCCTTGAAGCTCTATTTCCTATCTTATGGATTTGCCTACTGTGGACAGTTGACATAAATGAAATGAACAGTTTCAGAGCAAGTCCTCCCATATAAGATATGGTCTTTCATGACTGCCTTCCTTCACTTAACATAATATTTTCAAGGACAATCCATGTTGTATCATGTATCAGTATCTTTTTATGACTGATACTCCACTGTACAGATATACCACATTTTGTCTTCCTTTCATCTATTGATGGACATTTGCATTGTTTTCACTTTTTTGGCTATTATGAATAATGTGTCTAGGAACATCATTGTAAAAATTTTGTATGAACCTATGTTTTTTAAAAGTTTATTTATAAGTCATCTCCACATGCAGCATGGGCTCAAACTCACCACCTGAGTCATATACTCTTCTGAGTCAGCCAGGCACCCCTGTATAAACATATGTTTTTAATTCTCTTGGATATATACCAAGGAGTGAAATTGATAGGTCATATGGAAACTCTATGTTTAATTTTTGAAAAACTGCCCAACTATTTTTCCAAACATCGGCATTATTTTACATTTCCACCAGCATTGTGAGAGGGTTTTAATTTCTCCAAATTCTCACGAACACTTATTATTATAGCCATCCTATTGGGTGTGAAGTGGTATCTCATTGTGGTTTTGATTTGCATTTCCCAAAGAACTAAGGATGTTGAGCATCTTTTCATGTGCTTTTTGGTTATTTGTATACTTTCTTTGGAGACACGTTTATTTTGCCCATTTAT